ACACTGCTTTATTACACTGAACTGTCATGATATATGGGATAAAGACAATTATTACACTGCTTTATTACACTGAACTGCCATTGTATATGGAATAAAAACAATTATTACACTGCTTTATTACACTGAACTGCCATTGTATATGGAATAAAAACAATTATTACACTGCTTTATTACACTGAACTGCCATGATATATGGGATAAAGACAATTAGTACACTGCTTTATTACACCAAACTGCCATTGTATATGGGCTAAATACAATTATTACACTGCTTTATAACACCAAACTGCCATGATATATGGGATAAAGACAATTATTACACTGCTTTATTACACTGAACTGCCATGATATATAGGATAAAGACAATTATTACACTGCTTTATTACACCAAACTGCAATTGTATATGGAATAAAGACAATTATTACACTGCTTTATTACACTGAACTGCCATGATATATGGGATAAAGACAATTATTACACTGCTTTATTACACCAAACTGTCATGGTATATGGAATAAAGACAATTATTACACTGCTTTATTACACTGAACTGCCATGATATATGGAATAAAGACAATTATTACACTGCTTTATTACACTGAACTGCCATGATATATAGGATAAAGACAATTATTACACTGCTTTATTACACCAAACTGCAATTGTATATGAAATAAAGACAATTATTACACTGCTTTATTACACTGTGCTGCTATGATATATAGGATAAAGACAATTATTACACTGCTTTATTACACCAAACTGTCATGATATATGGGATAAAGGCAATTATTACACTGCTTTATTACACTGACTGCCATTATATATGGGATAAAGACAATTATTACACTGCTTTATTACACTGAACTGCTATGATATATGGGATAAAGACAATTATTACACTGCTTGATTACACTGACTGCCATGATATATGGGATAAAGGCAATTATTAAACTGCTTTATTACACAGAACTACCATGATATATGGGGTAAAGACAAATATTAAACTGCTTTATTACACTGAACTGCCATGATATATGGGATAAAGACAATTATTACACTGCTTTATTACACCAAACTGCCATGATATATGGGATAAAGACAATTATTACACTGCTTTATTACACTGAACTGTCATGATATATGGGATAAATACAATTATTACACTGCTTTATTACACTGAACTGTCATGATATATGGGATAAAGACAATTATTACACTGCTTTATTACACTCAACTGCCATGATATACGGGATAAAGACAATTATTATACTGCTTTATTACACTGAACTGCCATGATATATGGGATAACGACAATTATTATACTGCTTTATTACACTGAACTGCCATGATATATGGGATAAAGACAATTAGTACACTGCTTTATTACACCAAACTGCCATTGTATATGGAATAAAGACAATTATTATACTGCTTTATTACACTGAACTGCCATGATATATGGGATAAAGACAATTATTACACTGCTTTATTACACCAAACTGTCATGATGTATGGGATAAAGACAATTATTACACTGCTTTATTACACCAAACTGCCATGATATATGGGATAAAGACAATTATTACACTGCTTTATTACACCAAACTGCCATGATATATGGGATAAAGACAATTATTACACTGCTTTATTACACCAAACTGCCATGATATATCGAATAAAGACAATTATTAAACTCCTTTATTACACCAAACTGCCATGATATATGGGATAAAGGCAATTATTACACTGCTTTATAACACCAAACTGCCATGATATATGGGATAAAGACAATTATTACACTGCTTTATTACACTGAACTGCCATGATATATAGGATAAAGACAATTATTGCACTGCTTTATTAAAGCAAGCAGACGTGTTATATGGGATGAATAAGTGATGTCAGGTGTTTCGAAAACAGGGTACACATCCTGCGTCACACGTGACACCCGGTATATACAAATAATTGCATTATTTGATAAGTTGATTATTTTTAAATAAGGTTGTCATACATTGATGTTCAACATGTAGTTAATGTATGGACCATAATATTGACAGTTTGTTTTATCGATTCCTGCATCTATTTATAGATATCCAATTCTCGTATGGATATGGTGTAATTAAAACACAATCTTTAATACATCCCATTGCCGCATTTTCTTTAACTATCTTTCACTATTACGAATTAGATAAAGAATTGTTAGCTAATGAATTGTTTCCAAATGTTAAATTTGACAATCACATTTACATTTCTGCTTATATTTTATTCTTCATAATAGATATAACGATGGCCTGCAGTAATGTTGGAACTACTTCACACAAACAACTTGTGGATGATATTAACGAGAACGTTCTCCTCTGTGCTGTATGTCAAGAAAGATTTACATCACCGAAGATATTACCGTGTGTTCATACATTCTGTGAGAAATGTCTGAAGACGTGGGTTGAGAAGAACGGTGGTCAGTTGACTTGTCCAACATGTCGTAAGTCACACATCATTCCCCCAGGTGGCATCGGAGCACTAAACAATAATTTGTTCATCAACGACGTGCTGGAAATGTTCTCTAACGTCAAGATTGGTCAAGATATGTTAAAGTGTGAAGTGTGTGCATCAGCAGCCTCGTTCTGGTGTAAGGACTGTGTCCAGTTCTTTTGCCAAGAATGCAGTGTTCCACATAATGTTATGCGAGTTACGAAAAACCACAAAGTGATCACAGTGGAAGAGTACCAAGAATTAGAGAAATCAGCTCAGCGTCATCTCATCCGACCACAATTCTGTCCAAATCATCCTGACAACCAGTTGGTGTTATTTTGTGATGTGTGTCAAGTCACAGCATGCATTCAATGTGGTTTGATTAACCATAACGGATCCGATCATCGCATGATATCCATGGAAGATGCACTGAAGAAATACACTCCAAATTTACACCATCTGATAGATGAACTGAACAAATCAGTGACGTCGCTGAAATCTGGTGAGGAGAAACAGAACCAAGCAATGAAGCTGTTCAAACGTGAGCAGGTATCGGAGGAAAAACAAATAAAACAACACGCAGCTGATATTATTAATCGTGTAAAACAAGAAGAGCAGAAACTTCTCACCAAAGTGACCGAGGTATGCGGTAAGCGAGACAAAGAATTACAGGCACAGTTGGATCACATTGAGTTGGACTTGGAACGTGCAAAAAGTATGCAGTCTTACGCTGTAAACTGTCTTTACCATGGCAACCCAGCTGACATTCTATCACAAAAGAGGAACTTAGAAGATGGATTAACAGAGTTGGGAAATAAAGCGTCATTAGGTCAGCATGAAATTGGAAATGACTTCAAGTTGAAATTCAAGAAAACTATGCCATCACTATTAACCATTGGGGAAATTACATGTGAACGTCGTGAGAGTTCTGAAGGGACAGTTGAAGATAGTCTCCCAAGCGCCAATGCTAACACCTTGGAAGGTGTGCCTGTGGTAAGATACGTATAACCAAATATTTTCCGTTCATGTACTTAAATAAATCGGTTAATGCCTTGTGATTTATTTGGAGGTGAAAGTAAAATGCAAATTTCTGTTCGAACAATCATCTCATTTTGGACGTCTATATTTCAACTGTCATGACGAGTATTCACCAATGCATTTTTTTGGCGGAATGTTCATTTTGGAGAAATCCACATATCTGCGTTTTAAAGTGATACTCTTTCACACTTACAACAGTTTATTTTGTCACAATTTCTGTTCCACATAAAACAACAAACTACAATCTACAAGCTTTTCATCTACAAGATTTTCACCTTCGGACATTCGTGCCGAATATCCAGTGATTACTCGCATAGAAAGAACACTTCGAAACTGTTACATGTATTGTTACTCCTTGATCTTAGATTTTTTTACTTAGTACAAAAGTCTAATATGCAATAGTGTGTGATTGTTTTGTAGTGTAACCGAGAGGTGCAGCTCAGCAAGAAGTTATCTAATATTTTAAGGCACAATGCCAACAAATTTGGATTTCAACTTGATAAAGGTACAAGTATATTAATTTTCTTTTAGTTATTGGGTAAATCGAATGTGATTTTTGTTATGAATAGATGAGTAAGAAACCCATTTTTATGGCCATGCCATTTCTCAGATTAAATAGAAAATGTTAGGATTTACAATAGACAAATCCAGAGTGAACACATTGTACACGATAGTAATTGACATGTCACTGGTTGAAAAGACGGAAAGGAAACGGAAGGTAGATAGATATCTACAGGCGAATTGTGATTACGTTTTTGTATTGGTTTATAAATAATTTTTATATATAACAATTTTCAGAATAAGTGGGATAGATTCTGTAAATAATTTATGATCATTTTTGTTCATTTTCGTACTCATCCCTTTCATTGTATTTATTAGGTGGATTTTTGAATGTTGAAGACATGCTACATCATCAACATTTTCGCGGTTATACTATTGAAGATGTGAAAAGAGTTGTGACTAATAATGACAAACAGCGTTTTGCCTTGAGAAACCATCCAGACAGTAACTTGTTGCAGATACGCGCAAATCAGGGCCATTCCGTTAAGGTGAAAAACATAAATGTTAAAAACTGTGAATTATATAATATCAATAATTATATCTACTGTACATTTACTACTAATTAAGATATTCTGGAACAAATGTCATCAATTAATCATTTGACAATTATTTAATTATTATCTATAATCATGCACTATATTTGACTTGTATCTATAACACTTTAGTTCTTTCCAAATTAAGGTTCAAGGTCTTGAATTGAAAAGAATCACGGATGCGTCAGAATATCCAACTGTTATATACGGCACTTACAGCAAGCACTTAGAGAGAATCAAAGAAAAGGTGAATATATGAAATGTGTTTGGTTTATTGAAAGCGCATCTCTAATACGGACACACATGCACGAACATTTGTATTTACGATTTATTTGACTAATAAAATTTGACCCAAGTTAGACAATATATACACATTTGTGCTATTAATAGTGTAAATACAGTCAACACTGTGATGTATCGCCTGTCTCAAATAAACTTCACTATTCAGACTGGTTTCCAGCATACCGTTTTCCCATAATCAGTATAATGCATACAATCATTTCATACACCACTCTTTACTTGTAATGCAACTATTTACTACCAGAATTGGAATATGTTCATTAATGGGAAAGACGCCTCGAGCAAAGTTTTTAAGCAAACATTTTCTTTTTATGTAACAGTTATACGTAGAACGTTCACACGCACATAACACATAACACGCTGTTAGCTGGTTTGCGGATGAAAATAACCAGAATATTATAACGCGAGTCCCTAATACCGTGTTCGTTGTTTGAACGATGCTTATACACGTAACCAAACATCGGATGTTGCTGATTCATACGCAATTCTTTTCATGAGTTCATGCAATATCCCTAAACACTGCCAGTTTATTGTTCGATAACTATGCAGCACGTGGTATTAATGAGAACGCCTCGTTGTACAGAACAGTATTATAATTTATACTAATGGCAAAATATTATATATTCAGTCTTCGTCTCATAAAACATTTTTTTACATATGTATACAGACTTAGTTCCAAAATACAATCATTCCTCCACATTGTTGAGATATAATGGGGGAGGGGGTAGCTGGTACAGGTTACAGGTAGTAAATTAGGCATTTTACTTTTTTATAGGAAATAAAATAAAAGTTCCAATTGCAGTAAAAAATATTTTAAATATCAATACATGGATTCAATCATAAGATATAATTTATATGTATGAAACTTGCCAAACGTTGCCAAAAATTCCTACATTCGAGATATACGACAACTTTGCCTTTGATGCATCAACATCCAATAATGGTTGACGTTTTCATAGTTTCCTGGTGACATACATACCATATACTGCCCACAAAACGTTTATTATCATTGCACATAATGTATGAGAAAACACTAAACTATACCCGACGGAAAGTATATCGCAAAAAGACACGTCCAAAATTCAAGAACTTCACTGCAGATGTGTAACGAAGGTTTAGCGCATAGTTTTTTGGCATGAACCGGGATTCGAAAGAAAATTTCTTACGAATTACGACATTAAATGTAGAAAATAATATCTTTGTACGAATTATGGAAGATTAAAATAGGGGAATACATTTTAGACCTTGCCATGTCTACGAAATTACATTTTTTATTTACGCTATACATTACTACGATGATACAAATCAATTGGTTACAGCTTACGAAAACACTCCTAAACCTCCCTTCCAGATGTGATCTTTTGACAATAATTGTTTTATTTCAATATAACGTGCCACATCTGTGTAGGGTCAAATAAAATAGTACAAAGTCAAATGCCACTATTTTAGGTGCCTACAACAATATTTTTTAACATAATTATTGTTTTATTATCTCAATGAAGGGCTTATCAAGGATGGGTAGAAATCACATACATTTTGCACCAGGAATGCCAGACGAGGTCGGAGTTATTAGCGGTATGTATATAGCTCTAAAAGAATGAGGTAGATTTCCTAATTCTTAATTGGTCACGCGATAATTACTGGATATAAGCCACGAGATCAAAGCACAGGTGACATGTACGCTAAATATCACACAGATAAGATTTTCCACTAACTAATTTAAATGTAACTAATTTTTACCCTGGTTTCTCCAAACATGAAGGTTTCGGCCAATAATTTGATGCCAATAGTACTTTGATCTTCGCAGCCATAACCAGGTGATGTCATATAAACACAAGAATTCTAGAACGCCTATTGGTCAATTAAATACAGACATGTTGCAAATACTCGTAGATAATATATTTTTCGTTTTAAGTTTTTTTTATTATGTCATCAGCACCAAATAATACGCATTGTGTTACGTATAACCTTTCCGAGCCAAGAGAAAACGTCATCACAGGCAGGTGCGCCCTCAATAGCGGTGTTGCACCTTGGGAACCTTAGTTTTGCCTGCATATACATAGTCTAAAAATGAACATAGCCTAAACAACTACCATTCTAAACCAACTATTGCAAACATTTACTATTTACAATAAAGACGAGAGACCGTTTATTCTTAACTGGGATAGGTTTTTATCAAACCCGTTTGTAGGTTTTACATGTTGATAACTATGTAAGACTAACTGATAAACAAGAACACTGGCAGTGCGCCACAGTTTTACTAATTTAAGTTCTAGCAAATACACTGCTAGCTTTGAGGTTACATTTAAGTATTTCAAGACAAATTACTCCCAAAAATGGTACAAATGGTACGTTTACAAATTGACGAATTTTATAAACCAGGACTGCCTAAACTTGCCTGTGTTTTAGCTTGGATTTTGCATTCATTACAGCATGGTGTGCAATTCATTATGGTTAGTGGCAAATGACTGATGCATTTTTATACAATTTTTTTAGGAATGCGCTGGGATTGTGATGTTATAATTGTTTTAGACTTGGAGAAAGCAATTAAAGGTGAGATCAGAATTTCTGTAAATATTTTGCACCATGTATTGCATGGCTTGACCGATTACATACCTCCTCTACATAAACCTAATATATTTTGGAATACGTGCATTCCTTTTGTAGTCGAACACAAGGTGCCATTTTAGTATTGCAAGGAGATTCAACATTAAGCATTTCTGCCATTTGAAACCCCATCTTCGTCATGTAAAGATGCCATTATATGAGAATATGGACGTACGATACTTTGTTTTACAGATCAGATTTATATACCCACTGGCGGCCTTAATGTTTTCATGAATGCTGTCTAAGAGCCTTATCCCTGACATGCCTTGAATGATTATGTTGCAACCGCACACAATCTTTATACATCATATCACATTAACAATTATTATGGAATATTAAATAACGTATGTGAGATCCGCATTTCTGCATTTAAATACCTGTGTGATGATATGTATAATATTATTTGTCATTTCAAATGATAATGATAATATTCATGTTTACAAACTTCTTAAACTCGATATTTTTATTTTTTATTTATTTTTTATTCTACAGATGGAATCGAGTTTATGATTTCTGCTAACAATGTAATACTGTCATCCGGTGACGAACATGGTTACATTTCTGTAGATTACTTCAAAGAAATTAGACAACGACGCACATGTAAGTATAACTAACATACCGTATGTGAGCATCGTGTGAATGATTACGCGGTAAATAATTAATTTGTTAACGATGACAGGATTATGAACTAAATAGTATTGACTAGTATGCAATTTAGAACGTTTACTACAGGATTCTATACACATTCGTGAGATGCTCTCGAAAACACACGTTTAAAACTTGTTTTACGTGGTACAACTGGCAGGTTCGAACCTAAATGATTGTATGGGAAGTGGCTGCAATTTAATTTTCGCATTTCGCATTTCGCAGGTGGTTGTAGGTTAGACACGTTAACTTTTGATGTTTGTTAAGTTTGAACATAGAGGCTTTCCTGGAAGGTGGTTGCAGGGTTAGGCACGATGTATATTTGTTCACATTGGACAGGTGGTTACAAGTTAGGCAAGTTAGCGTTTCATGTTTGGCAGGGTTGTGTTGGGAGATCTTCTGGAAGGTGGTTGCAGGTTTAGGCACAATGCAAGATATATTTTCACATTTGACAGGCAGTTACAAGTTAGGCACTTTAGCGTTTCACGTTTGGTATGAACTATGACTAGGTGACACTATTTGTAAAAATGCATTTTATTGTTTCAGCTTAAGGCTGAGTAGTGTTTCGGCACATGTTAATCAAAGTTAACTTTTTATTATATTCTATAGAAGTATGAAAAACTTAAACAAAACATCAGTTAAAATTTCATGACTAATAATCAATGTAGCAACTCCATATATGCAAATTGTAAATGTGTATATATTTGTTTTAATTCTTAAATAAAAATTGTAAATCAAATGAGTACTACTCAGCCGTCACTCATCAGGCCATTCAAAGATTGTAATTGTAATATATATATATATGAACATAAAAGTCACAGCGATGTTTGTTAAATTTACGCATTAAATAAATAAAAAAACATAATTTCAAAAGAAAGTTCTATTCAAAATTTCTGTGACTGTTTTGTAATTTTCGAGGAGAAAAATGTGGTATCCCTTTTAATTTATTCACAGCGCTCGATTGAATTTTTAATAAAGTATTTGTTTAATTAACAGTCACATGACCACATTAGGGCTGTATCTAAACGTTACATCCACTATATCCATAATCCACACTGATATATTGTTGCAATTATACCTAAGATAACAGAATCAATAATACTTGATTAATTATTCAACACAATCTTGTTGTATTTTCAGAAAAAAAACAACTTTTACTCGAGATCCGAAGTGTGGAAAAAAAAAATACCTGACCAGTAAGGAAGCAGAGAAGAGATGCCATATAAGTTCAGCCAATTGTTCAATATGTACAGAGGCTGCACCTGGCAGAATGTGCAGTATATTTGTTATACACGAGGACCATACTTCTATTTTAAGTCAGGATTTGAGTGAAGTATGACGCAACAATTTTATGAGATTATGTCAAATCAGCTTAGAATATAGACTCATACCACAGGTTCTCTGAAACCTAATATAACAAGGAGCAATTGGTTCTTTTTCGCTCCAAAGTTGATGAGGATGCAAAATTTTTATTTAATCTTTATTTCAAAATTAATTCAAATTTCAAACAGTTGTGCTTTTATTTCTCAAACAGATAAGCAGAAACATAATTGTTTTATTTGTAGGCCTTGGGTTCCTCTACATTAATTTGTTCAGTACTAAATATAGGCTAATTAAATTTCACTCCTTCTTATAATTACATGATCAGGATGATATGTCCTCGGACCGTATTAATTATAAAAGTAATTACATCATACATTAGAAATGTAATTTTTTAAATTCCATATTGTCATCTCTTTATAAAACGATTATCCTATATATTTCATGGGGTGGCTAATTCAGAAATTTTGTTTAGTGCTAACTTAAACTGAGAATAGTGGGGATACACACTGTTGTTATGGAAACATTGCATAAAGGTAAATGTATATAGTCTTTCTTTTTAATTAAACATCTTTTCAACACTCCATTGTATTGCTGTAGTCATGTCTCCATGCATACCCTTGGTGATACGAATTCATTTAACAACTGTAACAACGTCCTGTCTAGGTTTCCATCTATGATGTTAACATTCAGATGAACCAGTATGTGTAGCACGCTATGAAAGGACAGAAAATTGGACACGTTTTTCGACCAACATTTGAACAGAGTATGTGTCACATAGTCAGTCAATGCACACTAAATTCATAGATAAAAGAATTTGACACAAATTATATACAGTGAAATGGCAGTAGTTGTGGGTCGATTGTATTTTATAATAGATAATGTGTATATAATTCCCAACATTTGTCACACACGTGAACAGGGCACTATATTTAGATGTTCTAATTATCATAAACAAAGTCACTGTAGGCTTGGTTTTAGGGACCAGACTGACAATATGCACGGAATAGCTACATTACCCAAAAATAGAGAGAAGATTAACACGAAATAGCTTTTACCAGTTAGTCTAATATTATACTAGGGTCTTGTTAAATTCAATGCGCGAAAATCCATATTTAACTTATTCTAACCCAAAACACATGCGACTTGTACATGACTGAAAACCAAACCCATCTGGGAACTCAATTCCCGCGCGTGCGCAGGTAACGACCCTCCCGCTTTAATAAACTCCAGATTGTCATGGAAAGTAGTCTGTGAACTCCAAAATTCAGTAGTACCTTTCTGATTGATTTTACAAATAGGTATTTTCTTTAATTCCTGCTCTGCCAATGGTAAAACTAGGATTATACAATGAATGCAATTACTCGCATATGCATTGTAACTTGGACGATTCATAAATTTGACTGTGTATTATTTGTTTTACTTAAAACATGTATATAGTCATGTATGATAAGTATTTCTCGAAATATTTATCAATGAGATCAATGTAAAGTAAAATATGAATGTATACATCGTTTTGCTTGTTTTATGCAATACTCAATAGTTCCAAACGTTTCGGATCCAACTGTCTCAAACATGTGTCTGCTTTCAAATAACCATCATATAGAATCTATTCGAATTTTATTTTTTAATGCAGTGTAGGAATGGAGACTAAGTCTATCTATTTGTGGACAGAATTATTATATATAGATTAAAAGTTTAGAAGACTTGATAATTGTTATGGCTGGAAGCTCTCAGAATCATTACCTCGGCGTTAACTTGTTTTCACACAAAATCTGGAAGTTATACAAATGGTAAACCAAGCAAATACAATCGGTCTGTCTCACATCAGACGACAAGTGCATATCTCCCGCGTACAGTTTTGAGTGAGCGCTCAATTTTTTATGAAAAACTTGACGACTACATGCATGCATGTAAAAATCTACGTTGGTGGCGAGTTTACATTGTTCACAGTGGTAACGCCATAAATAATTAATTAATATCACAAATAAACAAATATTTCACTAGATTTACCCGCTGGACATCCTATTTTTTCTTCTTTTCAAGTTAAAATACTATCCACAAGTTTCCTTTTGCCAACCGATAGTTAACTTTCTTCGCCCGTGTTGATCATTTATATTGCCTGCCTGCTTAACCCACTGTTACTCCCTACTGGGGGGGGGGGGGTATTTTTCTCCTTTTCGCTGAATGAGTTTAAATGTACCTGCCCACTGAAAACAAATTTACAAGACCATTGTGCCAACGGCTCCGTTGGCTTCACCTGACTACCACTCATTTATATTGTTCTGTATCTGCAACCAATACCATATATACACATCAGACACAAGGTATAACTTGCAAAAATTCATTATCCAAGCAGTATTAATGCATACCTGTAACATTGCTGTCGTCTTGATGTACCTGTCATGTCCGCCATTGTGCAATATGTGCTATGTTTTATAAGGATGCTAAGTTACCGATTAAGATAGATGAGATTTTACTATGGTCATCGTTGCTATCAGACAAAAGGAGACATTCGACACTTTGTCCACCTTTGTCCACTTTCACAGCAACGTGTACATTCAGTCAACCTACAATTCATTGTCAATGACATACCAGGTAATCCCCGTCGGTTATTATAATTCAACATTAATTAATTACAAATGGCGTTATTTCACGTGGCAACATACCCAAGCTGTGTTCAGTCAAAACATATACATATACATAGACGTAGACATATCACAACAGAGCTTTACTACATTTTACATAATACATATTTATTTGATATGATATTCGATGAAAAAGAGTGCAATCAATGAGCATAGATGACGCTTTTCTCCATACAAATGTTGTCTACTTAAAAATTGAAAACAACGACCCTCAGTTAAGGTTAGACGCTAGAAAGGGACTTTCATTGAATGTATACTTCAAATTGTCGTGAAATACAAAATGTTTAAATGCACAAAATTTAGTTGTTTACGGCCAGGTCAAACTAACTTCCTCGACCGTCGCTTGCACAAAAACAAACTCAAAAAACAACAACAACACTCAACTGGCCCCGCGTTTTTTAAACAGGCCCGTTACAAAAATATGTGACCCATGCCGCTAATGTTTTTTTTTCTGAATGGGAATAAATCATAGGATCTCAAGACAATACCTAAATTATTTACTTCAGCATTACTATTTCTCTTAGGAAAAAAAGCGACTCCGCGAAAATGCCCACGTCACATGCATATATAAGAATAGCTAAGTGATTCAACAGATTCAAATAGCAAAGTACCAAATGCCGGATAAGTTTCATACTATTATACGTATTCACGCACCTTCATAAATTGGAGACACGTTCTCCTTAGGACACCACTTTAAGATGAACGCATATTATTTAATGCAAATACCCAGAAAGTAGTCATTTTGCAATAAATGGTACTCCAGGGAAATACAAGAGTATTGACTATATAAAAGTTGAGAGTCACCAGCCTAATTTTTCAGAAAAACGATGGCTGTATTCTTGTGTGTAATGACCATATTTTCAACATTATAACGCTTTAACCACAGGTTTCTATGGCAGAGTTATTATGTCATATATCAAATTGTAAGCTGGTGTAGACTGAAAATGTTTTTTTTTTTTTAATTTTGTTGCCCTGCAATATTAGAAAACCTGGGTTTAAAAAGTTTTCTTCATCATTGTGTTCTATGGAATTGTTCTAAAAATAGATTTTTTTTGAGAATATTGGGACAAGTTTCTGTACCACACAAAAAATACTATTTTAATGTGTCATCGGACAATAGCTCCATGATTTCACACAATAAATGAATATTGTTATGCGATTTATGGCATATTTTATCAAACATTATGTTTAGGCTATGACCACATAAGTTGTCGATTGCTGTAACGTTTAATGTGGAATCATTTTCTTAAAAACAACCTAATTAACATTAGCGAGTATGGGTAAGGGCAATCGTGATCCCATCAATGACATTGAACACTTGAACACTTGTTCACAGGTGGTAACGGTGATTTTAATCCGATGCAACTACATTATTTCGCTGTGGGCTTTCTGTGATTTGTTGTGAATCCTAAACATAACATACTTAATTAATCAAACTACTTGTTCAATTATGTCAACGTCAAAACACTTCTAAACATGTGTGAAATTATTCGAAGTTTTCTCCCGTCATTTCAATACACTGAACAGTACATTAATTATTGTATTGCATTTCTCAGAAGAAGATTTACTGAGAAAAGAATGAACTAAACAAACAAACAAATAGAGGACAAACAAACACCCTCATACACGCAAACATGCATAGTTGTAGTGTAGATGAATGCATTTGAATATGTGATAAACATTAAAATGTCAGTTAAAATATTATCATTTTGTTTTGATCTGGCACATTTGTGATGCTCAACGTACAGTATTTTTTTGTATTGTGTTGTTTCATTTCCTTTTGACAGCACTCATTGTGATGTACCGTGCTATTCAAACTGCATGCTCAGAAACATGCCTAATTACTTATTTTCATCAGACAGCCAGTCACTCTGTTAACATATATGGCATAAAGCGAGATTTTAGGCTCGTTTTTATTTAAATATGTTGTGTTGAGCAGCTATTCATTGTTTCAACAATATGATAAGGCGTTTTTCGTTTCCACGAGGAACTAATTCAAATAAGCTCCGAAAACAAAAATAAACTAACAACGTATACCAGCATATACACGATTAATTTTATAAATAAAACCACAATATCACGTGACACAATGAATCGATTTAGTTATTGACGCCATATTATACTATCCACGCTATGTATATCGGACCGATTCTGATACTTTGGTTTTCCCTTTTTCATATAGTGTTATCTTCAGATAGCATTTCCGACGAGGCGTTAGTTGTGAATACTTCTTATGGCAAAGTAAGGGGAGTATATGTTGAACACGCCCGAGTGTTTTTTGGGGTTCCATATGCTGCTCCCCCAACTGGAAAATATAGATGGAGTCCGCCACATCGACACGTCGGATGGTTCCCAGGTATTTACAACGCCACAGAAGACCCTCCGGGCTGTATTCAGAAGTGCACCAACTTTCTTGCTAACTCATGCCCAAATAAGGTATATACAGCAATGTTTATCTGGCACATCTCAAATACTAAGCATACATATACACTAGAAACCCATGGCTTGTTAACAGTAATTTATACTAATAAACACTGGGTTTTATGATATACTGTGCTTAGAATTGGAATAAAGCAATGTTACTTGTGGTATATATCACCCACATACAATAAGGAGGGGACAATTGGGACAGGAAAATCTAAAAATCTAAGTATGTAAAATTATCAAAATTTCGTTAGCTTTTTATAACCTTGGGTATGAATAACATAAATCCAAAACACTTCAAAGTGTGCTAGAACCACTTATACGGGATTGGAAATACACTTATGTAATTGTTATGTAAAGTAACATCACTGACGAATATACGTTATTCTTGTACTGTGTGAAGTCACAAAAACGCTGAGAAAATATAACTGGCCTGTTTAATGTTTAATACTGGTAGCCTGGTATAATGCCAGTTAGCATTATATTGCTTATAATATTCCGGAATAATAATGTTCATAACTATAGCACATAACAGCCGTCATATCAATCATGCTGGGCAAGTGTATGAAACCGGTATTACTATTGCAGGGGAAGGGGTTAGTGTTACATTCTGTCAAGCTGTGCTATTTTTCTGATATGGCAGTCCGTTTATAACTGAACACGTATTACATGACATTTAGGACAATGCTAATTCATAAATGCAATGTTTTAATAATATTATTATCTACTGATTATGTAACCTTACATTACACAAATTATGCAATGTATATTTCAACGGTTAAGATTTTAGCAAAAAATAAATGATACACTGCTAAATATGCATATCGACCATGCTAACAAATTAGCATGATGCATATTTAGATGGTGTCATTTAAATTAAGTGCATCTTACGAAGACATGTACGACATATAACGATGTTATACAAACTCACTACATTGAGCAATTGCTGCTCCCTTGCAAACACGGCATAAACATCAGCAATTACGAACAAGGTAGGTAACTTGCAGTATATAACACACGTGGTTATATCCACAAGAATTTCACAACTCAAACGACATTAGCGTCATTAATGGCGCTTTTTATGATAAAACATCTCCATTTGGTTGCATTCGTTAAAGCGGGAGGGTCGTAACATGCGCACGCACGGGAATTGAGTCTCAAGCGCCGATAACAACACACGCTAAAAACGCAAAGGCTTATCGGTAAACGCTTGTTTGTAAACAATGACACGCTATGGCCATCTGACGCATGCTCAGGTGACGACTCCCTCGCTCTAAATGACAGACAACGAGAAACTCGCGGTAAGCTTAAAACAAGTTATTTTTTTCTAATTAGTTTGATATCACGATAATGTACACCTCAGTACGTTTTGTTTCATCCACATATATTGCCAGAAGCAACACAATTTGTAGCGATATTATTCTTTTGTAGATTTGTTAAACCTAAATACAGGCAGATCACCATAAATATCGTTAGTTCTTAGCATTTTTTTAACACGTATTTATTTTACGAAACAGATTGTTGGATACACGAATTCTGACTTCAGATATTGGTTATATTAAAGCGGGGGAGTCTTCACCTGCT